GGATCTGTATTATTTCTTTCTCAATGAATGAATAATAAATACAACAGTTGTGTATATATACATGAATAAAACATGAGAATAGCCAACTAACCAACTAATTGTAACTAACTACTTTAACAGTGTTTAACAGACTCCTAACTAACTTTAAGTAACTAACTCTAAGTCTTAACTAATTCTACCACCCCCCCCCCCCTCAAGTTGGAGGTAGTGTGATTACAGACAACTTGCTTAGAATAGTAGAGTGCTTGACTCCAGTTAAGGCCTTGGTAAATATGTATGTTAATTGTGAGTTTGTGGAAATATGATGAAGTGCAATCAGTACTTGTTGAAGTTTATCCCTCACAAAATGACAATCCACCTCAATATGTTTTGTTCTCTCATGGAAAACTAGATTTTTAGCAATATGAACTGCAACTTGGCAGTCACAAAACACACGTATGGATAATGAACTTTGCACCACCAGTTCATCAAGTAATCTCTCGAGCCACACTAGTTCTCCTACTACTTGTCTCACAGCCCTATATTCTACTTCTGCAGATGATAGTGACACTGTAGCTTGCTTATTGGACTTCCAACTAACAAGATTGTCTCCCATAAAAACCAAATACCCACTAACTGACCTCCTTGAATAAGAACAAGCTACCCAATCTGAATCACAGTAAACAATAACAGTAAGATCAGGCTTGTTTGAGATGAAAATTCCCAAAGTAGGATCTTGCATCAGATATCTAAGGACATGATAAGCAGCCTTCACGTGTAGTTCTCTAGGAGATTGCATAAACTGGCTGAGATGTTGAACACTAAAAGCTATATCCATCATTGTATTTGTGAGGAAATTAAGTTTCCCAACTAACTTTCTATAATGAGTGGGATCTGATAACAACTCCCCATCTGTGGCTTTAAGTTTTTCAGTAGAATCAAGTGGTGATGTTGCAACTCTGTAGTTCATTATATCAAACTCCTTCAGAAGATCAGTAGTAAATTTTTGCTGGGAAAGAAGAACACCATCATCCCTATATAGTATTTCTAGTCCTAGGAAGTAGTGTAACTTGCCAAGATATTTTATTTTGAATTGATCATGCAAGAAACTCTTCAAAGAGATGATTTCCTCCAAGTCTGTACCTGTCAAGATCACATCATCCACATATATTGCAACAAAAACTAAAGAGCATCTCTTTCTCTTATAGAAAAGTGAGTAGTCACTGTTTGAATATGTATAACCCTTTGAACGTAGACTGCTGGCTAGTTTGTCTACCACTGTCTACTGGCATGTTTTAAACCATATAAAGACTTCTTGAGTTTGCAAACTAAGTTGTTGTTGTCCACCATAAGACCTTCTGGTATTGTCATGTATAATTCCTCATGCAAATCACCATGAATGAAGACATTATTCACATCCAACTGGTATAAACTACAACCCCTTTTTACATCCAAACAAATCAAAGTTCTCACAGTGGTCATTTTCACTACAGGTGAGAATGTTTCAGTATAATCAATCCCAGCTTGTTGTGTATATCCATTCACCACCAGTCTGGCCTTGAACCTCTCTACACTACCATCAACTTTGTGCTTGATTTTATACACCCACCTACATCCAATGGCATTCTTACCTATTGCTAAGGGGACCAGTTCCCATGTATCATTTGCATATAGTGCCTCAAACTCCTGTGTGATTGCCATTTGACAAGCAAGATTCAAGATTACCTCTGCACAATAGGAAAGTTCACTTTCATGTGAAATGGCCTTTAGTAGCTGCTGGCTATTAGAACATAAAGTAATAAAACAAATATGCTCATGGTTTGACAATAATGAGATGAGGGAATGTTGTTATTCAGGTGTTGATGTGGTGGAATGCATGTTAGGTTATGTGTAGTTGTAGTCTTTAAGATAGCTAGGTGTATGAAGGGTTCTACTTGTTTTTCTAGGTACAGGCACTGGTGGAGCATCACAAGTAATGGAAGGATTAGAATTATGTGGTGGTGTTGGTGCAGTGTTAGGTGAAGTTGTGTCTGTGTTTGCTATGGGATCAGAAATATTGTTAGCTACTTGGTTAGTGATAACTTCATGGAGTGTGTCTGTATCCAGCATTTCATTACTGAAAGTGGTTGTTTCATTAAGCATACAAGTCAATTTATTGGGGTGATGAACAAGCAATTTGAGAATAGAGTTAAAACTAGAACCATCAGGAGCAATAACAAAAGGAAAAACAGGTTCATGGAAAGAAACATCTCTGCATACATGAATCCTCTTTGTGGCCAAATCTAGGACTTTGTAACCCTTTATATTGTAAGGATATCCAACAAAAATATGAGGTGTTGCCCTTGGTTCAAACTTGTCTTTATGGTTTTTCAAAATGGTGGGGAAACATAGACATCCAAAACTCCTAAGATGAGAGTATGTGGGTTTTCTTTAGTACAATTGTTCATATGGTGACATATTGGGTAGTGATTTGGTAGGTAATCTATTAATAAGGTAAGTAGCAGTTAAGACACATTCTCCCTAATACCTCATAGGTAATTTGGATTGATAAATGAAGGCTCTTGTTGTTTTCAAGAGGTATTTATGTTTCCTTTCTACTACCCATTCTGTTGGGGTGTGTAAGGACAAGATTTCTGATGTATAATTCATTTTTCTTGAAAATATATTGTTGCCTCACCACTTGTGAATTCTAGGCCATTGTCAGACCTGATAGTTTTCAGTTTGTTTGAAATTGATTTTCTATGAGGCATACAAAAGCTTTCATAGCTTCTAGCACATTAATTTTGCATCTAAGTAGTTGTGTCCATGTTGATCTACTATGATTATCCACTATGGTCAAAAAATAATTGTAACCATCATGAGTTGGTATGTGGCATGGTCCCCATAGATCAACACGTAGTAACTCAAAGATCTTGCTAGTTGTGATTGTACTTTCTGGAAAGGGTATTCTGGTTTGTCTTGCCATGGGGCATATGGCACAAGTAAAGGGTTGTTTGGTGGAAAAATCTACAGGTATGGTTGAAATATTCCTCATCATTACAAATGATGCATGTCCCAATCTAGTGTGCACAAGAGTTCAACAGTATGATTATGAGATGTAGGAGATGAACCATGAGTAAATGAATTTGCAGCATAGAAAATAAGATCACCAATAGAACAAGTTCCTTTATTTGTAGTTTGTGAAACCTTTACAATAGATGGTGAAACAATACATTTATTTTCAACTAAAGATTTTCCACAACTGAGTAAAGATGAAATAGAATGACAACTTGAAGAGTGGTGTGTGTGAATGAATGCCATCAGACTGAGAACAACAGTTGTGACACTTGATGCATAGAAAGTATAGACCATTTTTGGCTCTACCAAGCTCTAGAGGGGTCTTCAGAGAAAGGCCCTGCAACAAACAAGAAAATTTGTTAAAACTAACTGTACCTTTAAGTTGTAGAGACAAACAATAGACATATATCAAGTTAAACTTGAAGCTAGGTACAAACAACACTTTACATAGAGTCAGAGCTGGTTCAAACAAGCATCTCCAATTTCAGTTACTTTAACTTTATATCCATTTGGTAGGTTGATTAAGAAAGGATAAGGTAGAGTTCTAATATTCTTAAGAATGGTTTTATTGTAGGTCATATGTGATGCTCCGGAGTCTATGATCCATGAGCTAGCAGCTAATCTAGTACATTTACATGATAGATCATCTATCTCAGTCATTGAAGAGTAGCAAACAAGTATACCTGCCAGGTTAACAGCTCCACTCAATGTGTTATCTGAATTGTCACCTCTATTGTTTCCAGCCTGCATGGTTCCCAAGAGGTTGAGCAGCTGCTCATACTGATCTTTGGACAAGTTCAATGGCATTTGTCGCCTTAGTTCAGGACCTTCCCCGACTCCATTGTTCCCCTCTTCTTGTGTATATGTATTTGCTACAAAACTTGAACCTTTACCTTTAGGAAATCTGAAATTTGTTGGATAACCATGGATCTTATAACATCTATCCTTTGTGTGTCCAAGCCTTTTACATTAGCCACAAAACAGACCAGATTTATTCTGTGAATAAGAGTTAGGGGTGTGCAAAAACCGAACCGACCGATAAACCGAACCAAAAAAAGTGTTATTGGTTTATTGTTATTGGGTTATTGGGATAACGGTTATTTAATGGTTTTACAAAAAAAAATTATTGGGTTATCGGTTCGTTATTGGTTTTTAATATTGGGTTATTGGGTTAACCGATAACCCATTAAGAATATAATAATTTACTATTTTAATTTTTAGTTATACATATATATAATAAATTAAAAAAAATATTAATATAATTAGTAATATATTAGACTAAAAATATAAAACCCTACGCAATAATTAACACTACTTAAGAATTAACTCTCCTCTCTACTTTTAGTTATTTAACCTTTAGGTTTTACTTTTTAGTATTACTTATTTACTTTAGTTAGTTTATAATTGACTAATATTAGATTTTGCACGATTGTAAATATCTGCAATTTGATTAACGTCAGGAATTCAAATTGTGTGTTTTTTTTTTTAAATAACGTAAGAACTTCATTTAGTTACCATAAGCATGGCCTCATTTGCTACTGTTTTGACTTTTGTCTATGATTTGGTTTTATTTGATTCTCTTTATTGCATAAAGGGGACCTCGTTTTATATATATTATGGTGATCGAAAATTAACCAAGTCTTTGTTGTGATGACCAAAATACAACAAGTTGGTCCTTGTTGTCCCGTTTGGAATGATTATTTCGATGTGTGCGTATCGCGTCAATTATTGGATAAGTCATATATTTGTTTTGAAAGCATTTTCTTATTGGTTAAACCGAAAACCGAACCGTTAAAGACCTAAAACCGATAAACCGAAAACCGATAACAAATATCTTATTGGTTTGGTTATCGGTTTAGCATATTTAAAAATCGAAAACCGATAAACCGAACCGATAATTGTTATAACCGAACCGAACCGACCGATACACACCCCTAATAAGAGTTATTAATGTTAGAGCTTGCTCAATTGTTATTGGTACTGCCAGAGCTGCCTGCACCTCCTCTATAAGAACTGTAATTTGTCTTGAAACCTTTTCCATTAGAAGTAGATGCAGATGTAGTTAGAGATGTGAAGTCCAAAATAATGTGATTATGGGGCTTTACTTCCCTGTGTCTCTCCTCTTGGGATAATATAACAAAAGCCTGTGTCATGCTTGGTAAGTCGCTCATCATCAGGATACTTCCCCTCACTGTAGTATACACTTCATTCAAACCCATCAAAAAATGTATAAGTCTCATGTTTTGTTCAGCCTTGTGTATCTTGGTCTTTCCACCACAAATGCACACACAAGTGCATTGAGAAGTGATGTCAACAGTGTTCATCTCTTCCCACAACTTCTTCATTTGTGTGTAATATCCAGTAACATCTAAACTTTCCTGCACCAAATCATTTATCTCTTTCTGTAATTGATACAACTTACATCCATTTGTTTGGTCATTACGATCCTCCAATTCCTCCCAAAACTCTCTAGCATTGTTCACATACTGTAGGCCATCTCTCAATTCTGGTGAGAGGGAATTTAGAATCCACGAAGTCATCATGTCATCACACATTTCCCAATGCGCAAAGCTTGGATCCTCTGAATCAGGTTTCATAATTTTCCCATTAATAAAGCCTGTTTTGCTCTTCATTGATAAGGCCCTAAGAACAGCTGGTCTCCATGATCTATAACCAGTTCCATAAAAAATAGTTGGCAACAATGTTGATCCTGCATTTTCTGAAGGATGCAAGTAAAATAGGCTAGCAATGTCTATTCTCACAGTAGAAGAAGTTGCAATGTGTGAATTTTCAGATTGAACATCAACCATACTAATCAATATACCTTTGAAAGTAAAATTTCCAGTTCGGGTAACACAAATACACAAACAGATGATATGCAACAGTGATTTGTCGCATAGAAAAGATAGAAATTCAGCAGAATAACCCAATAACAATTGATTCCAACACTTCGAATAGATCGAGAAACAGAAATCACGATCGAGAAACAGAAATCGCAGTTGATTTCAAAATAAATCGAGAAACAGAAACAAACAGAATCTCACAAATTCCCAGCTATGAACTGAAACCAATACTCACAAATCAAAAATGAATGCGGAATGAATCTCTGAGCTCTGATACCATGACAGAATTACTGATTAGTATTAAACCAGTGAGCTTCCTCCATTAATGGAGATTAAGCTCAAAGAGAAAGAAGAACAGAGGATACAATATGTCATTCTAGAATGAAGAGAGGATTTGTATTATTTCTTTCTCAATGAATGAATAATGAATACAACAGTTGTGTATATATACATGAATAAAACATGAGAATAGCCAACTAACCAACTAATTGTAACTAACTACTTCAACAGTGTTTAACAGACTCCTAACTAACTTTAAGTAACTAACTCTAAGTCTTAACTAATTCTATCACAACCCTTTAAGTTTTGCCAGGTTATTGACTCGCTCATTTGTTAGCTCAATACATTTCGATCCACCTCATTTTCACCCATTAAAAATTGGTTTGATATGTAACCTAAATTGACTTAAGAAAAATCTTGTCAAAATATTTTTAACTATTATATATAGCCATAATAAAGAGAGAAAAATAATAATTTATTAGGTATTATATATTGTAAAAGAACAAATAAATAAATTAAAACTTAGTAAAAGTTGAGTTGGGTCTTGAGTCATTTGTTGTCTTAACTCATTATGATCCGCCCAAATTTGACTTAACTCTTGCCCACTTACCACCCCTAAAATTAACTAAGCAAAACATAATAGAAAGAAATTAATATATCGAGCAATCTATTAATTATATACAAAATTATGTGTAAACCTTTGATTATGAAAATAGTACTTATCTCAAATGTTAAAATAATGAAGAAGTAGAGCATTTGATAGGCGTTGAATCGTTGACCTCTATGTCATGTACGTGCTTGTAACAGTTCAACATTTTGTCACTACATTTAAGGTCACAATTACGACTAATATAAGTGACATAAATAACAAGTTGAAGAATGCTTAATGAACCACTCATTTCCCTTTCAATTCCAGCATTTAGCAACATCAGTGCTTGATTATGTTTTTTTATATTTGGTTGCAAAATTCAGATAGATATATTTAACATGAGTATTCATGAGAATTTAGTGCTCATTATTTTGATGGATACGCCTCTAAAATTTAAATCTCTCACTCTACGTCTCAAATTGTGCTATTACATATTTCGTTAAGACCACTTTACTTGTCGTACTAATTAAATGCTATAATTGAATGTATTTTTTCCATTTTGTTTCAAGTAATAATTATTCTGGAAATTATTAAATGTATATCGCCTAATTAGCATAGAAATTTAAGTAAAGAGCACATATACTAATATAGGGGTGTTCACGGGTTGATTTGGATTGATTATTGGTCAAAATTAAAACCAAACCAACTTAATCGATTTTAAAATTATCAAAACCTAACCAAACCAAATATAATATACATTTATCGGTTTGGTGATTATTGGTTTCGGTTTGGTTTGGTTCGGTTATTCGGTTATTAACCATACACAAAAATAAAAGAAACAATTCATTTAAAATGTAAAAAAAAGTGACAACAATCCATTCAAAAAGATAAATAGTTAGAATGACTTAAATTACTAAACTTTCAATCACTAAATTTACTATCAATAAAGCTTTAAAATTCACTATATTGGCCTAGAAGGAAGAGACAATAACATTTTCAGTCCCACAAAGAATTGACATAGACACTCATATACATGAAATCAATAAGATAAATGTTTCATCTTGGGCATTTTTGCTTTCAATAAGTAAATTATAAAGAAATTTTAATGAAAATATGTATAAGATCTTTAAAATTGTTTATAAAAATAATATATTAAGTATGTATATTAATAAAATATATGTATATAATTCATCAGTTCGGTTCAGTTATTTCTTCGATTTTTTTCGAATAAAACCATAACCAAACCAAATACTATCGATTTTCAAAAATCTAAAACCAAACCAAACCCAAATAAAATCGGTTTTATTTTATCGGTTTGGTTTGGTTTTTTGGTTTGGATTGGTTTTTATCCAAACCGTGAACACCCCTATACAAATATTGTGATGACTTAGATTAAATCTCTTTTTATTTATTGATGAGAGATTAATATTTTAAATGATTAAAGATAAGAAATATAGATATAATCATCAAAACACATTATTTTAAGGGGCGTGTAAATAAAGAATATGAGAAGTAAAAGTGATTAAGAGGGACTATTATGATGAGAATAGAGTTTGATTTAGCATAATCATTATGAATTATTTTGGCAACGACACCTAATCGCTTGTGTTTTAAGGCCGAGATCTCTAGATCATTGAAGTTTATGAATCGAAATTATTCCAAAAGCAATGTGGCTATATTATTGATAAAATTTTGCATTTGATTTTTCTTACTAGGACTTTATAATATCACCATAGTTTCAAGTTGATATATGGCTAAAGAAAGGAATTAAGATTTGATTGCCTAATCTCCAAGAATTAATGATGGACAAACGATATACTTTTTTTTTTTTTTAAAAGCAAATTTATCACTATAAAATGTCTAGTGGCCTTTTATTAAGCATAAAAAAATATTAATAGGAACAAGTACAAACAAGGGGGCTAAGTTTTACCTTACAAATCCTAATGAAGTACCTAACTTCTGCTACTTAACAAGCATGAAGAAAATAAGAGTAAAAGAACTAAGTATTTTCTGATCATCACAGAATTTATAATATCCTCCATGATGATATTACAAAATAATGTAAATATATGTCAATCAAGAAGAAAGTTGAGCTATCAACCTCAAACTTTCTATTACAAAAGCATGAATAAAAAAATATTGATTGCTCATCAAAAGTAACTTGAAGTATTTTTCTCTTATCTTCTTCTTCAAACCTATCCAACAACACTTGATAATTTATACCTTCTTTATGAATTTATTGTTTTCTAAAGATAGAAGTAATTGTTTTACTTTCAAATTATTTAGATGAAATGCATACGCAGCATATCGGAGCACAATTACTTGAACTACTTCAATAAATTTTAATCATTTTGGGATATGTGTCGGCATTGATTTTTTTGGTAATAGTTTCTTATTTACACTGTTTAGTTGTTATCTATTTAAATATGTCTACTCTGATAGAGTATATTTTAGCTTTGTTTATAGCTACAATTAACTTTAATATGTCCCTCACATGGTGTGATGTCTCTTTCTTCTCAAATTCTCTACCTCACAACCGTGTCCGTGAGTTCTACTACTCCCTAGTCCCTAATGTCGCTTCAGAATTCAGAATTTCTAGAATATGAGCGCAATATTATTAGAAGAAAATAAATTAAGCAGAAATTAACCCTAGTTCTCTAAATAAATATTCAACCTTCAATTTAGTATACAATTTAACCTTCTTATATTGCGATTTTTAACAAATAATATATTGTATTAGTTTATAAAATATATATTTTTATAAAATATTTAATTTTATAAAGAGACCATAAATTGATGTACCCCATAATTTAAGCTATAAATTCGTCCTAGCCTTAAGGAGTTGTTTGGTTTGAATTCAAGTTATGATGTGATTAGTTATGATAGGATAAGTTATGATAGGATAAGTTATGATGGAATTAGTTATGATGGGATAAGTTATGCTAAGATTATTTTTTATTGAGTGTTTGGTTTGTTGTATTCAAAATAATAAATCTTAAGAACAACATATAAGTTTACAAAAATACCCTTCATGGATGTAAAAAGTAATGTATAAAAAGTGTTTAAAGGGACATTTTTGTCATTTAGTCATTTTATCCCGGGATAAGTTATCCCGAGATTACTATACCACCCATGGGAAGGGATAACTTATCCCGGTACTAATTATTAATCCAGGGATAAGTTATCCCGGACTTGCCAACCAAACAACAAATTAAGTGGCATTATAATTTAATCTCATGACTATTTTAAGTTATCCTTCACACCAAACGACTCCTAAAGGTTTTAAAGATAATTTATACCACCAGAAAAGATAACTATAGCCATTTTTATTTATAGTAAAAACTAATCTTTAAAATAGAGAATTATAAGCAAGGAAGACTAGACCTTATTTTAGTAATCTCAATATAAAAAATGAGAATCAGAGTGAACTAAATATTTTATGATTATCACATAGTTTATAATGACTATCCACACAAATAATGATGCATCTAATCGATCATGGGAGATTGACGGGACACCCAAACCTAACACCAAATGACCCTCCATGGCTCCATCAAGACTAATGAACCACCACATGCACCATCAGAATTGTTTCATATCAACAAAGATTGGCCAGATATTTTTATAGCCATCAAATCTGCAAAGAAGAAATCTCACTGACCACTCCATGCAGTAGCAGTCTGACATATTGCATACTTAGACATGTTGGCCCATGAAATCTTCTATTAGTTGAATTAACGCAGGCGTTCTTAGTACAATTCTTCAAAAAATATCTCACATCATTTCATACTACTCATAATACTCATACCTTATGTAGCTTCGCAGTTTCTTCCATTATTAAATGTCTTATCGAGCAAATTATTTTTTTTGTGAAATCATAGACTAAAATTTTATAAAGGTTAGATAATAGGTACACTAACTTTTGAAAGTGATAAAGAAGTACTTAAATCATACTCCCTAGTCCCTACGGACTACTTTACTCGTCTTCTTTATTAATAAGATGATCCAAAATAGTTATCATTTTAGAAAATAACAATATAATTGAATACATTCTTCTTCTTATTTTTTTCTTATTATTAATAATTATTCTTGATTATTT